ATGTTGCTCTCGTGCTAGATATGTAAGTTAAGTATATTTTATATAGCCGATTGTAGAAATTTGCATAGTAATCAAATCCACCGCTAAATATCACCATTGGTTTAACGAAACGCTTGAGTTTCTATTTCAAGTTTGCAGTTTCGTTTTGCGTACGGAACCCTTATACAATGCCCTTTGGATTCAAATGTTGGCTGTGGCTTTGAGCTCATTCGGATAAGAATTAATTATAGCAATTCGATTTCGGCATGGATTTTATAAAAAAAAATATGGCTGGAAGTTTTAGCGGCTCATCTAGTTTCCAGGTACAGATAATACTCTTCCAGGTACGGATAATAATCCGGTCTATTATTGTATCTACTGGCAAAGATATATTAAGTCTCAGTCTCGTTTTTTGCTCCATAGGTAGAGCATGTCAAAGCAATTCTGACATACCGCTATTATTCGCTACGATCCACATGTTTTGTGGATGTGTGTGTGTTTTTTGCTTGCTCTGTAATCTAGCCGAGTTTACCTGTAAGGCATGGTCTATTACAATTTTTCCCCAGAACCGTCTCCACATCAGGCAAATTGGCCTCTTAAGCAACGAATGCAAGTCGGAACCGAAGTTTTCCTAGGCAGAAATATTTCTGCATTACAATATTATAATAACCGGATTAAGCCTACTTTGCACCATTTGCTTGTAGCCTGCGCGGAAACTCACAGGAAACCGCGTAGACACGAGGTCTTTTGACAGCGTGATGACATAGCATTAAGAGTCTTGTACTGTACAAGCGACATTTGCCATAATTGAAACCCCAGCAGTAGAGTCGCTTCGATGAATAAACAACCTATAAGCCCTAGATTCTTTGTTCTGTCGTTTCTGAAATACCTCTAGAGTGGCATCGTGGTTTTTGTACAAACACGCAATCACTGCGACATGCAATTGATGACCCGTGAGGAGGTTAGCAGGGTAGACATCCACCTTATTAGTATGTAATAAAGCATATAATTGTGTGGATAGGCAGTATTCTCGTCAATATCTGTCAGTAATGATGTTATCTGGCCACCTAGGTTAAAACCGGAATGGCATATGGATTTTTTTTATAATCCTTGATTTTTGCTATACCATTTATTTCGAGAAGCGTGTCTTTCTGAAGCTTTTCCTGGTAAATCTAAATGCGAGGTGTCCTTAAATAATCTACGGGTGATTATTACTTTTCTTATTCCACTAGAATAAGTTGTAACACATTTTGAAGCAACATTGGCTCAAAAGACAAGAGAGTTCCCTTTAGACCCTTCTGAGCTACGCTTCTGCAACAGACTAAGTCTAAGTAAAAGATCGTGTTCGTTTTCAGATATTTAGAAAAAGAAATTTTTTACAATTATACTGAAGCGCGTTCGTTGTCTTCATACGTCCTCGTTCAAAATGCTTCGCACGACTCCGTAGATCGATATATTGAATTATTTCGGTCCTTACAAAGAAACAGTTTCTTATAAAAGGCAACAGTGGCTAAACATAGTGTAAAAAACGAAGTTACATTTTCTTAGAGTTTCGGCACAAAATCGAACCAGGGCGGTTGCTTCGTAAACTCAAAGTGCCATTAGTTGACATGCATTTTTATTGCATAGATTAGAAACTATTAAGATTTTCAAGTAATTATCAGTGTTGGCATAAGTTTTGTCATAAATGTAAATGTACTTGACGCTTGAAAACGTATCGTGTTGGTCAGAGAGTTTGTTCATGTCAGTCATATGTGGCCTTGCTTGTTTAAACTGGAACTATATTCGCGGCACTAAGTTAAGTTTTATTTCAAAGCAAACCAGTTAGCAGTAACTAACGCGAAGTACGCAATTCTGGTTGCCTGTAGAGTACCTCCGTAATGTAATTCGATATGTTAACTTTTGAGTAAGCAGTTTGCCTAACATGCTTTTGAAAACTTGAAGACATCAAGAAGCTGCCACGTAAATGAAAAATAATCTACCTGTTTTTCCTTTTCTACAGTTTAGGAGACGTTTGATAAATCGAAAGAAAGCTCACCTTTTGAAAACGGTATGTAATTACTTTAACTGAATGATCAGAACAATGTGTATATATATATATATATATATATATACAAACAACAGATACATTTCCAAGTATTTGGTTTTAAAAGTAACGTTGCCACGAGGACATGTAGACTAGTAATCCTTCACTTGATTATGATCGGTAATAGTTATGGTAATAATATTAAACTAGGAATAATTGTTTCGTGCATTACTTCGACTATTTGCCAAACAAGAAGCAGAACTAGCATCACCAGAAGCAGCATTTATTTTTGAGGATAGATAAATATACTCTAATAGTATATTGTTAGTTTATATGATCATAATATCTAGAACGAAAGCCGTCGACATACTGGCTGACGTCTAATAAGTTGCATTTTTCAGTGTACTATTAAAGAACTGAAACGAACGCTTAAGTACACATCGGACAGATAAGAACAAATACGAGTCAATAACAACAAGTTGTAATAATATTCACGTCAAACAATCAATAGTCTACCGATCGCAATCTACCTACCGGCGAAAATACGTGTCTTCTGTGTCTCAAGCGCTTCATAAAGTCCTTCGACCCAACAGCCTTCAACCAGGCAAATAGATGAACACAATAGTTAGCTAGCGACGAACTAGACTTTTTTTTTGTGCTCTTATGATGCGTTACTGTTTGAAGGGCAGAACCTTTTTCGGACCCGAAATCTGACAGCAAAGAAATTATACATGTACTACGTGTATTATGCAACTATATACAATATTGTTTCAAGTAATACCTAAGTGCTATGAAATATCACAGTTATAGGGTGTCAATGTGAATGAATGAATGAATGAATGACAATCAACCCCTCCTCCTTGGCAGAAAATGCGCCCCAGTCTGAAAAAAGCATCATGCCAATAACAGCATCGTGTTGTTTCGCCATACATTCATCGACAACTACTGGGGTATGAACAGTTCTGATCTTGGATCCCCAGCCTTAAATTGCTTGCAGGAATTTTGTCGTTATAGGCCCTAGTCCTCCCAGAGTCTCGAACGCCACTGATAGAAGACGTACTTATTTTATTTAATTTGATTTGTCCCGCTAGGATGCTGGCGTACCCTAGCACTGTAGCGCCGCTGTCGGCATACGAAAAAACTAAAATGCTTACCACGGTGGCATGGTAATTAATCCAACGGCCTCATTCTGTGGTAACTGATAGATCAAGGCCGTCTCGATTCCCGCCCATAACTTCTATGCGAACCGAATAACCGACCCTCTCACGCAAAAAATCTGCTCGAATCTGAGGCTCAGGTGAGAACACCTATTTTACTGTTCTGCGGCAGGGAGTTTAACCTTCATGGCTCCGATTAACCTCGTTTTCGCTGCATGTAAGCTTAATGAACAGCTCTGGCAGCACCAAAATTGTTAGTTTCCCCAAGCCTCTGGATGCGAATTTGCGCAGTGGCTTCTTTGAAAATGAAGGCTCTGGTAGGAAGGCTTCGCCGAGAAAAGTGAAGCGATATTTCAACCTACTGCTGATACGGTAAACCGCAGCCTTAAAATGGAACTTCTGGGGAATCTTCATAAGAAATACGAATGCGAATCAAATGTACAATTTTGGGACACTATACGTTGCAGTGTTTCCGTGGAGGAGGAGGACAGACTACGTCAGTCGGAGGTGGACGGCGCAGTAGTTCATGTGTCATTAATTAGACTTTGAACTAGCAACTGCCTGCGCTAATTTTCACCACTTAACTTCACTTATTCTAAACCAATCAGCTTGCTGACTAAAGTAGAAATTCCCCATTAGTGATTGTTAATTTTATTAGGGTACTTTGGCAATACAAAGGGCTATTTACTTTTGCTCTTTGCAACACTTAAGACTAGGAAGCTCGAATACGTCTCGACCTGGACGGGTTACGTCAAAAGCGCCGCTAACAAGACGAGACTATGGACGCGAATAACAAACACCACCTGACTGATAATAACCTTATGATAATAGAACTTATAAGTAAGTTACCCCGCTGAGTTTAAACTTCTGATCTTTGTTGCTATAGCTTGTTACTGTAATGATAAAAAAAGATGAAGTTCAGCTAATTGATCGAGAAAGCTTGCTGCGTTTAAATAGTTCAGATATTGATCGTCATGTTTAATGGGGTTGAACCGGAAACCCAACAAAGACCATTTCAGAGAGCAAAAAGCCAATCCATCCGGTGTAAAATTGGTTCATATTTTCGACCTAGTATATTTTTTCAACGTGTGTATCGATCCGTTTTTACATTTTCATTAACTTTAGTCAATCGTCTCACGTAAACTGACAGGGATGAGTATATGTATTTCATGTGAATCTCCAAAGATCTTCTTGCAAAAAATTGTTTTACCAACTTAAGTATTGTTGATCACTGTCGCTTTATGTTTACTTGAAATAGATAACAGAGACAGTCTCGCTAATGATCGATGCTTTATCCATACGTAGACGTAATGTTCCCGCTTCGTTACTAACCAGAAGGGCGAAGAAGTAATTCGTAATAGAAATTTAGAATGCTCTGTTACTCAACTGTGAAGTTCTAACAGGCACCAATATTTCGAAAGTTCTTTAAACTAATGTGTATATAATACAAAGCTGCACAATTTATATGATTGATCCGCTGACATGATTTGCGCATTTGTAATGAAGCCTATCTCCACAGAACTGGAATCATGAACTAAGTCTGATTAGAATACACTGTTTTGATATTTTGTAAAAATAGTTTGTTTGTTTTTTTTTTAATAGAAAAAACACTGCTCCTTTAGCCCTGTTAATCTGGATGCCACTGTATCACAAAATAGAGAAGCAAACAGCATCGCATAATAAAAGGTCAATTTCAGTGGGAGAAGATAGAACTCTGTTAGAAGTATCTAGATAGGACGCGTTTCACGATGATATTTACGTAACATCGCTGCGTTTCTTGTAGCTGACATAGATGTTAAAAAAAATCGAAATTTCCTTTACTATCATATTATGCTTTGAACACTAGACTAACTCTAACAAAAAACGATGTCTAATTGAAAAATATATTGGCTTCTTGAAACTGGGTACATCGTGTAGTCGTTATTCCTTTATGGCATTTAGCTGAACTCTAAGGAAGTCCAAAGCGGTAATCCATAAATACTTGACGTAAAGATTGAAGGGGACATGTGTAGTTCTTTAAAGAAATATCACAGAACTGTTATAAGTGAAGTGTTTGGATCCGCATTGAAAGAAGACGTGCGTTGACAAGATAGTGAAAGCATCACACGGCTCCAGTGCAACCGCAAAATAAAAATTTGTAGATAGCGGCATAACAGCGATGCGTCCACGATCACGGAGCACTTGATACGAAAATGAAGAACAGCTTTCCCGCAGCTCGGAACGAACAGAATTGACACATGAGTGAGTGACACGATGTGTCATTCCTTTCACGAAACAACCAGGTAACTAGTCGGACATGAAATGTTCGTTTATTTTGAAAAGTTGCTATTCTGACAGCGATCAGCCGTGCTGGTACATTGGCATAGGATGCTTATTTAGGGCCTCGACGACTATCAGCACCTTCCAGCGATATCATTATACGGTGAATTTAACAATTTCGAAAAAGCTAAGGACTAGCTTAGGAAGAAATTCGAAAAACAGTAAAAGCCTTCTGCTCTCCCATAAATTAAGTGTTTCCAGTCTTACGTGCGACACTGCTGTCTATGGCCAATGTGAAGCTTAGACAACGTGTTTCTAAGATTAGTAGGCAAACCCGCTACCTTCGAACCTATCACATATGAACTTAGAAAGGTATTATAGTATTAAAAACGAATCTCAGTAGTAGAGAGACTAGGCTGGAACGTGTGTGTCTAGCAGACTTGAAGGCACTTCGTAAGGAGGTAGGATGTTGAAACCGGGTGCGGATTTACTTCGCTTCTCGCTGGGATGTACCAGCCGTCCGAAAGGTCGAAGTGAATTCGGATCATCAGCTGGACCTGCTTCGCGATCTATTTACCTTATGGTGTTCGTTATCGATAGAGTAAGGCGTTTCGATGGAACTTTTCTTGAATGTTCTGGTGCCAGTTGGTGAAAACAGATTCTAAAGAATTTTCTCGTCCATACGGAATTAAATAACACTAAAACTGATAAAGTTCAATAAATAAGCAATACGATACTAGGGCGGCTTACAATCATTAGTTTAGGACTTGTATGCCTAGATGCCCTTAGTCATTGCCTGTAAATTTCTTCCGGTGAGGCTTACCTGGAGTAACGTTGCTATATCGTCGACTTAATTATGCGCCAGCGGTGGTCGCAGATCTTTTGCGCACTACCGGCCGCATGATAATCACACTTGAATAATGATTATGCGCGCACTTGAGCTTGGCGTGGATATATCGCAGTTACAGGTCTGTCTGTAACGGCCGTTGCGTCTTCAGTGTTCCAATGAAATGAGATCACCATCGAGACGAAGCCACCCATTGTGTGCGTGTCTATGCGCAGGATCGTGATTCGACTATTTATTGATTGAACACATGTATATTCCTGCGGTCAGGTGAAGATGTGTGAAGCACTCCAACGCACCAATGGCCATCTAGTTAGACGCTCTTGGAAACCTTGTAGCGTATGTATGTCACATCTAATTGCCGCTACAATGGTCTGTTGGAGGAGGTTGTTGTGCGCTTGTGCATATCATAGAAATCTGTCGAATATACACATTGGCAATTTAATTAATTATCCTAGTAACGAGTAACTGGTATGAAAAATTTCATCGGGGGGTATTTTTTATTTGTGCCTAGTTGTCCAGATCGTGACAAGAATTATAGGTGTCTGTTGTAGCCCAACTAATTAAACTGTATCAGCATAATACTTGTTCAATCGGCGACGTACGTATGGTGAAGTGGGCCATAATAGCCAACATCAAAGCATTCCGAAGCTACAGCGAGATCAGTAGGTCATTGTAATTCCTGTTCCAATCCGATGTGGATAGGAGAGCAAGACTCTTTTATCTTAGGCTTAGTTATCATGTTTTTTTCAGTACAAGACAGCCCGTTAGAAATTTCGAATACAGTTGACATCTGCGAAACGAGAGGCGCTATCTCTCTAATTTACGCTGAAAGACGTGTTTGGAATTGTTACATCGGTTACTATTCTAGCTAAGCACTGTTTCAAGCGGTTGATGGCCCCCTGGCAACAAATAGATAGGCAAATTTTGCCCATCCTCGCTTTCGAGCCTACGTCGTTTCACAGACCCACATATTACTACTGCACAGTTGGGGAAACTTGTTACTATACCATGAGGAGCGTCTTGAATTCAACAAAAAAAACTAGCATATTGATAGGGGCTACCATTTCACCAGATTTTAATTAATCGAAATGTTATCTCGTAAAGTTATTGCCGTTCGTAGGATTCTATCTGTGGCTCAATCACTTTCAGTCCGGAGCTCTTTATTTTTAAACAGCAATATCTAAGCTTGTTTGATTTGTTGAAGCTGACCGTTCTATGTTGTTGTCTTCATCGATGACACTATATGTCCACGTACGAAACACGACAGTACGTTCTGTTTGTACATTTTCTAATAGTTAATGTATCAAATTATGCTTGAAAATTGGCCACATTTGGTTCCGTTCCTAATGAGATGCCTTGTCAATATACCCCCGTCTTAATTCTCGTCAGCTTCTTTAGTTAACAGTTTGAGTTTCCTTATTCCGTCTGGGTTTGACCTCTAATCCCTAAATCGAAAACATTGGATAGATCAGACCTCTTCCCCTTGTTTCTTTTCCTGAAGCGTTTTAAATCGTTTTTCTAAAAAAGAAGCGTTCATTAATTTGAGGCCGTTTAAATCGGACGTTTTTACGTTATAACAGTACAATATTTTCGTCGCGTCGCTGTTCATAACTGTGTTTTACGTGTGATTTTGATAAGCCGGTATCGTCGCTAATAAGATAAGGAAAAATAAACCTTCTGCAACCTAGTAATTTCCTGCAAATGCCCTGCTGTTCTGCCGTTTTGGCGAAATCAAGTGGAAATCAAAGTTATGCTGATTATGAACTTTAATCAGCACTTTCAACTTACTAACTAAAGTCGATATTCGTGTATGCCACTTTTCGAATATCTCAGTGATTAATTGATTGTTATTAACTATTTCGTTACATCCGCATTATTTATCTATGTTTTCTATTTAATTGCATATGCATATTTAGTATTGGGCCTGAGGAAGAAATCACCCTCCACGTTGCTTGCTCTTCTGCTGTTCCCGTAAATTACGTAAAGGCATGTTGCATCCAATAGATGCGTGCGAGTTCCCCTGTCAGCCTATATAATGCCAATAGCCAAAACACTGTAACATGGATTGTCATGCCCACGTAAGCCTATTGCTGTCACGTGTCTGGGCACCACGTCGATTGTTAATTACCCGCATAAAAATCTTCGCACGCTGACATGATGTATTTTCAGTCTGCACCGAAACGGAGAAATGCACCAACGTATACCAATAAACGAAAATCTGTAAAAATGTATGATTTAGGATCCAATGATTTGGTGCAATCTAGCCGAATAAAAATTAACTGGAGGGAAAAAATCAGGTAGGTTTATGGAGTTCCGCTGTGGCTAATATGTTTACTTGCCAAATGACCCTGATTCGAAGCCGGATGTATACATACGTCCCTTGGCGATGGGAGCCAGCCGCCTGAAGAAGTGCCTAACGACCTGAGTATCGCACGCAAAACACGAAAAATAGGCAGGTTTATGGGTGCCTTTAAAATGGGTGCCTACTTAAACTGGTCGTAATCTAAGTAAATTGTCGTATCCTCTCGACTAAAGGGTATAAAGCTTTCGAAGAATCTGCTTTTTAAGAATCACGTTTTCCAGCATTTATGCCTATAGTTCGCTTCAAAGCGACAAGGAACCATTTACATGTTCTGTCAGATAGAAGCATAGGGAAGCAAGGCCTAGTCACAATTTTATATATGTAAACTCCGACTAGACAGAAACTAGTCGGCGGTACCATTATCGACAGAAACAACTGTAATAATAATAGAATTTAACCAAAATGTATTACGTAAACAAAGCGAACAGTTGTCTTCGTAGACAACCGTAATGGCAACGTCAATCTAAAAGAGATCGGCACTGGCGCTGCGAAGGAGTTGCCGCGGACTCACTAATGCATACGTTCAAACCAATAACAACAAGTGGATAACTATAGCAGCACTATCAAGAACAGAGATATCAACAAGATCCAATATCCGTCTGCAAATTTCAGACTGATATAGTCTACGACCCTGTCAGTCCTGCCAGGGCCCTCATATTGGTGATTCTTATAGCTGCAGCTGCGAGCGACCATTGAACAACAGACACAGCGTAGATGAAGTATTAATTTTATCGCAAAACCGTCCAAATCTTACTATTATTTATAACAATGCATATTACAATATCGGCTGCAGATACCAATACTACTTACTACTAAGTCTCTTATCAGTCCGCACTGTCCTGGATCAGGACATCACTCGCTTCCAATCTGCCTATCGATAGTTGTCGAATCGTTGAAGTGGCCCATAATAATGCCGACAGGTCGCTATCGGATTGACGGCTAACGATGCATCGATGAATGAACTACTCATTGTATTTGTATTGTAATTGAATGGACGAGTTAAACGCTTGAGGGTATAATATATGTATGTGTATATGGGTGCACGTATGTGCACGGCTTATGCACTAAATAGCTCAACATGTGATACATTATCGGTGGTAAATAGAAGAGTCATGCTTCGTGCGTGGTCATTGTAGTTTCGAGTCGATGGTGTGTCTGGGGCAAAGATGTACGTGCACAGCGTCTCGGTTGCATTGCGGATGACCTGTTTCACGCCAAGTGTACGCAACGCGTATCACTAGCGTCTTTAGAAAATTTCGGGAAACCTGGTGGTCGTGTGATTTCCGTTGATAAATAGCCACTGCTGCATTGCGAAGAAACACTTTAATATAATACAAGCGAATACTAAATATGAAACGTTTAATAATTACTGCATAGGCGCGTGTTTTGTTTTGCTTGTTTACATGTAAAAATTTTCAATACCATCATAAGATCGCGAGTAAAACGAAGAGCGCGAGCAGTTCATTTATGCCACGCATGTGCTAACGAATTTCCGTATCAGCCAAAGAAAGAAACGGCGCCCTAACATATTAGATCACTAGTCCTCAAACGGCCTATACTCCGTAGATAGCAGGCCCTCGGCAACCTCTATCTAGCTCTGGATAGCTTTATAGGTAGTCAGTGAAACGCTTTATACCAGATATACCAGCACCGTAGTGCAACAGAAATTAGTACTTTATTTAAATGTAATTTTTGTGCTTATTTAAATTTTTTGTTCATTCATTGTCCGAACATACCAAATGACAATGGCAGTTATGAGCTCCTAGGTGAAGTATGCTGTGCATGAACAGTGAGATTCTGTAGTTATCGGCAATACGAACACAATGCAAAAGACCTAACTTTAAGGAACCGCAGCCCATAAAAAGTCTGCACCGTAACGTGCAAGGGAACTCTTGCACGTTGTTTTCATGAAAGCATCTCCGTTGCGTTGCAATAGTCGTCGTCATACCGTAACGGACGCTATCGAGTTGTGCGTGAAAGGCCTGTGAGCGAGAAAAAGAGATGTTGCCACTTTTGTCCAAACAACTACTAATTACCCTGGCCGTCATCCCTTAATAAGGGACCGCTACACAGGGAAAGCTATTATCGCTGCAGTGCCGAATACCCAAACAGCAGCCGATGGCTAAATCGCAGTGTGTCTCCGTATAGGGGGACCTATCAATGAAGACGAACGGCTGAACTCAGATGTCAATGATTGACCATTACGTCACAGCGGCGGCAGTGGCGACACGTGTGAGTGTTCAGCAAATCTCTCTATGGGGGAACAGCATCAAGACGCTGATGGCAGATATAGTAGACGGGCAAACCGGGCAAGTAAGCCGTAATTATCATGTATCACCGCGACACCGAAAATATCCCGTACAGTAGATATTCTAGCGAACATTAGTGGTAGACAGAAGCGATGGACACGAAGTCTTCTAATGATGATAAAACCTACTCAAATCTTTGTAGAATCTGTTATTAGTCGTGTCATCACTTGGTCGCCATAAACTTGTTTTTCATCACCTCCTCGACAAAAAAACGGCGCGCACGATCCGGTGGATGGGCCTGTGTTTGCTTTTTTAGCACCTTATGGGTACAGCAACGTGTCTGTAGGAGACGAACTTGCCGGATTTCCTATGCTTCCTTGTTTTCCAACAGTATACATACAAAACGATGACGATTATTTATAGCCTAATAGTTAAATGCTATGAACGTTGACAAAATTCTCGACATACACAATGTCCATAATCGAGTACCGAATAAAACAGGTGTGTGGAAGCATACCTAATTGTCTTCAATTTGACTAAAACGACTAATTGTTTTTTATTAACGTCCGAAACCGTTATTTAGAGTTTTCTTTTGTCGACAGGGCACTATTTAGTTGACGGCGGTATATCTTATTATTGCATTTAACGCCTATATGTATGTATATATATATATATATATACATATAAAAAATGTGTGTGCGTCTGTGTGGCTGTTTCGTTAATACGTGTGTTGTTCATTGCTTGGTCTGTAAATATGCGATCTACGCGTTTTGCCAGCTGATGCAATTATTTCGAACGCAGTACGATCCCGCCCCCCCCCAGTGAAGCCAGTATTTATATAATTAAATGGAGTAGCTAGTCGATGCTACGCACAGGAAAAACTACAAGGAACAGAATCAGACCGCTGTCGCAGTGGGATATCGTTCATGGCTAATTACAAACCGCAGACAAACCACAATCTATAATCTAGTAATAAGCACATTCTTGCTCTGTCTTTATTCTAGAGACAAACACTTGCTGTAACTATTCTTCTACGCTGCCAGTTGCTCCTAACCTGTCTCGTCGCTCAAATTTCGCCGCGGAGGGTCAAAAATCATTGATCTCATCTCCCCCCACCCCTCACCCCAGTGAGCAATGTGGCTGTACCATCGTCCTCTGATGTTAATCCGTATTAAACTATACAAGGCTATAAGTTACACTTCCGTCGTTGTAGGAAGTGTATAGGATCCACCTAGCAACTGATAGGGTGTGATTTCTCTGTAAATATGAAAATAATTGCGGTGATAATGGTTGATTTTGTATGATTTGGCTATAAACAAGTAGGTTGCAGATGATCGGTATCGTACAAGTGTTTTGGTGCTAACAGAAAGCAGTGGCGAACGCTCACATCGGCATTAGCTGGATCTTCTTGTCGAATCTTCGTTACATCTGTGTCACATGCGTGTACGAAGCATGTCTTCGGGTGTGGCTGTCGCTGCTAAATTGCCTCCGTATGGTCCACACAATCGGCTTGCTGATACTATACGCCTGCTCAAGCTAGTTATATATCTTGGGTCCACCCTGCCGAGTACCGAGACGGTAACCAGCGTTCTTGTCGACTTAAGAGTTGATGGGTTCATGGCGCGATCCACTGACCGTTCGTCTAGCCAGAATACTGCCGCGTAACGTGTATGGACAAAATCGAAGTTAGGGGCCTCTCTCCGATGCCCCAAGAATAGCAACGAAATATAAGGCCTCCTCCAAAGCTAGCTAATGTTGGTGCCAGCCATTTGGATTTTTGGCATGTTGAACGCTGAGAATGTACTTTCTTTGCTAAATGTGCGGTTAAAATAATTTCATTCGGCCCACTCTGTTCGGTGAGCGCTCATGCTTACCTGAAAAAAAAATACTATACATTCAGCTCGTGCTATAATGCCCATTAACTGTTAGCAACTAAGGGGACCTGTCGCAGACGTCCGCTCGCAACAACCCTGTTGTTGACTATTGCTACGTAGACGTTATCGTTCACTATCACGTCGAACTAATGCTGTTCCATGTGCTTTCTCCTCATGCGTGCTGTGCACTCATAGTTTGATTAACTCTCTCCGAGTGACGAGTTTGCGACCCCCTGATCAGGAACATACGACATTGATAGGCATTTAGTAAATCATTGATACTGTTTGGTAGGTCTGCTGGCCGATGGCCGAAGCTCGATGTTCGATTGAAGAGTCTGAGTGGTACCTTCAGCTGTTCCAACAGCCGACCAATCGCTTCGATTATCGTCTACGTTGCCGAGATGCCACGACTACCAAAGAATGGACGGAATCGACGTTAAGTGACGTCAGCGGTGCGAGGGCGAGGACCCCAGCGATCAACTGCGCAGCCTCAGGGCGAAATAACGGCGAAGCCAGAAGAGCACAGGTGCATACGGAATGTGGGGCACCACGACGCCGACGTCGGCAACGATACCCGCTGCAGCAGCAGCAGCAGCAGCGTCAGCGCTTTATGAAGGCGATGGGCAGCGGCGCTGTAAAGCGTCGAATGAGCAACGAAACCAGAGCGGATTGGGACATATCAGTAGATGAACATGCGTTTGTCTGTGTGGTATGTATGCGTAAATACTGTTAGGTGACGGCGCTTACTGGCCTTTGAATTTGATGAAGTTCTGGGCTGGGGAGAACGGCGTCTGGCCAGAACTACGTATAGCATAATAGCAATGTCCCACACGTCGTTCCTGACGTCTTTGAACCCCAATCTGCAGTTCGCGTCGAGCATACGCTTTCCGCCCTCAAAAGCGTCAATGTACACGGGTGCACGCCTCTACAAAGCTAACGGATTTACGAACTGTTAGGCAGCGAATGCACATAGCGAGGAGTGTGTTTCCTTGCAAAGTACTAGATAGACACTAACGGACAATAATAATAACTATGATGGACAAATATGAGATTCTGGAGATTATCCATTATCTCCAGAATCTCATAATTTGCTCTCATGAATCCTAGGCGCTGGGAATATGAGTCAAATAACAGACCACTTACCTACCATCTATTGTAGGAATAGTACACATTTATAAAGCAAGCGATTTATGAAGGCCCACTAAATATAGAAACTTAACAAATATTTGATGGTGTTGACATGGTATCTACCTCAGATGATAGCCACCGGAGAGTTATTGATCGAAGGAAAGGGAAGGAGATGGTGTAAAGGTCGTAACAAAAAAACCGGACCTGACGGGTCGATAGAGTCCTGAAGTTTTAGCGAAAAAATCTTTTTTGACTAACCCTCAAAAAACATGTGATATACCTAATTATAATTGTAAAGTTATATATATATAACTTTATTTTGTAATGAAAAACGCTTTTCCCCGTACACTCTTTTCGCTTCAATTAATTAAGCTTGCAGCGTACGCCAGAATTTTTCGTATAATAAAGAACGGAATCTCTCTGTATTAAATTACAAGTCAGGCAACCCTTCGATTGGCCGTTAACGGTCATCATTTTTTTACTGACGAATTTTTCATGATGCCACACATTAATTGATTCGAACTGCTTAAGTAAAAATTAATTAGAATTAAATTGACTTTTATTATGTTGCTGTACGCCACTGCTGGGTTGTCACGGAAGCATGGCCACGATGACAACGATAATGGCTCGGATTCACCCAATATAATACTTCAGTTACTAGAGGTAAGGCTGAACCAACTTACTCCGAATTTCCCCCATTTAACGACACGTCTTCTGCTCGAAATGAATCATTGACACTCTATGAGTCAAAACATAAGCGTACGCTGACAAGATTGGGTTCCTGGTGACTGGGTGTCGCTGTATCCTTTTATCAACACCCTTTACAATTTGGCAATCTATGAAAATAAATGATTCCGATGATTACATAATATTATTAGCGTCGCCTCATTATCATCGTCGGCGTTATGGAGGATGATTATGGAGCTAGAATCCATTTTCTTTTTGTATTTTTGTCTCGAGCATTCTTTTTGAATGAAGGAGACCTTCATCAATCAGAAACTTGCTTCTTGAGATATTTTTCTAGACTTGAAATTTCTACGGAGGACGCCGTATACACGGAGACAAAAAATCACCATGTGCCATTAGTTCCATCAGTATGACTGAGTGATTCTATCACATTTTATATTCAGGAACAGAACACGTTATCAATGGATGCTGGCCGCTTATTCAAACCGCATCAGGGAACCTTTTGAATGGATGATTACAACGTCGACCTGAAATTCAAAATAAAGTGGAGTTCTGGCTTGAAGAATCGTAAGACCATTGGTTTTACTTCAAATTGCAATGTTATTGTGTTTTATTGAGACACAACAGCCTTTCTCATTCCGCTGTTTTAGAGGATTCCGGAGGAATGATGTTTAGTCAACATGAACATACTTACATTACCTATAAATTTCAGAGCTATCAGCAAATTTATAATATTTTAATTGTTGTTCACTATATTTTTCGTTTACACTAACGTGAGATTGAACTGCAGTAAGTTTCGCACGAATTTGTGTCATTTTCTAACTTTTTCTATTATATTGAGTAGACCTAGCGGGCGAATTGCTTGGAGACCGCGTTGTGGAAGGTAGCTCGCACGAAAACGACCTTAACGTAACCGTGGCATGGACCAGCAGATCGGTATAATGAAGACCCATCGATGAATGTGTCAATATGGCGTCTCTGTGCGCACTTGTCGAATGTCTGCCTTTTGGCCGTGTGCTTTGCGCATGGAAAATGTTTAGAATAATAGTACAATGATAATTGCTACTTAAAAGTAATCATGTTTAGCAATCAAGGAGAACTTGGGTGGAGCAACGAGCCGGCACAGAAGCGAGAAAAGGGTAAGGACAAGCCGATCGATAGCGCGACCGTAAAAAGTTTGCAGTGCAAATTGCCTTCGAACTATTCCGGCCCCTTGAGCACGGCGCCAAGTACTAGTAGAGTGGCATGCCAATAGAATCTCTGCTACTACTAGAGAAGGTTCTGTTACGGAAGAAAATAATGCAGCGTGCATCGCTATTCCCCATATTGACGAGAACCTATCCGACTGGAAACGGTTATAGAAAGGAAGAAGGGATCAAGCAAAAACATCCAGAGTGTGGTTAATGCACAGCCTGCAGGAACTGCTGCTAACGGTTAAATGGTAAACGTTGGAGTCGGGAACTCGCGTCTTCCTTCGGTTAGCTCTCGTTCTATCCATACGTGGACACCATGCCCGTGTCAGCTGGACAATATCCGAGTCCCACCGCCGTCAAGGGAATCTATGAACAAGCTAGAGTAGTCTTACTACTTTTGTATCGGTTACAGAATAACTTACAGAAGCACAATGAACGCTACAGAAATTGTCGCGGCAGAACTATTATGATAGGGTAAAATCTGTGAGAGTTCATACATAAGTGAGAATGGTTAAAATTTGGATGAGGGTTATGTGCATGAACACTGGACCACGAAAGCAGTGGAAACACAAGAGTTTGCAGAAAAGCAGTCTTATTTTTTAAGACGTTAGACAATTTCTGTGATATGGTCGTCCAAGAATCTTAAGATACTTTGGGAAATACAATGAAGTGTGGTAGTGAATTTAATGAATTTTTGCTAAGGTCTGTCGGTCATCTGTAGGACGGTACGTTATATTCTAGCCGTTCATCTCACCAGAGCTGAAGGTTGAACCTGAAAAGTTCAATTTTGTGAATCCATAAAAGTACACACATATACATTCAAATATCGTTGTATTGTATATGTTGAAATATCGTTGTCCATTGAGTGATCGTCATTCAAGCGATTATCGTTACCATTCAACAAAACAAGCAGCACTAAACAAGTATTAGATTGAGGAATGCATTTAGTGTTAAAACTTTTATTTAATGCTAAACTTGAATTCCGACACTCAATGAATTCCTGCAACATATATGTCCTAAACTTCCATACATAATGTTCCTAAACTTGTGGAAGTTTTTAAATTCTAGAGGCCTATTATTCGTAACTCGGTGGTCTGTGTACAAGCTACAAGGACAATGATACTTGCTGACAAGTATCATTGCCAGGCACCATCAAGCCGGATGCAGCTAATTCAACTAGAGCGGGCCTTACTGGGCTAATCGGCCAAAATGCGTACGATGTCCGAATAAGCACGCTAATGTTTGCTTCTATTCGCACGTCTGTGTCGGTGCAATGTTTGTGATGCATTCGATGAGCCCAATTGCAGCTTCATCCAATCGGGTTCCCTTCACAGTAACCGTTTCTCTTTTAATTAACGATATCTTACGATTTCGTCTGCTTGGTCGTCTGCTACGATGCAGTGATCTATCTTCTTGCATTTCACTATTTATCCGGCTTTCTTGTACTTCCAAAGCAGCGAGTATTCCATTGAGTGAGCGCACACTATCGGTTATCCTGGAGCATTCGAACGCCACAGCTGCGGCATCAAAGTGGCGGAACTATGCAGAAAGGACGAAAAAAAAACGAAGAGCAGTTAAAATGTCTCCGTTTCTATTTTTCGTCCTTTTCGTCTCCTTTATCGGTCTGCTAGTGGGGAAGGCGCCCAGGCGTCAAAACGACGACCGTGACCGGCAGGAGTAGTTTTTGGCTTTCGTCGACCTGGATGTCGGATCGGCGATCCGACTTTGATCGTTGGCGTAATGATTCTGCGAACGAAAATGACGACCCAAGAAACGAAAAAGTCTGTATGACAGACATAACTGATACTGTTGTTGTTTATGATGCCAAGTATAATCTCAACACAAAAATGAGAACCCCGAATGAGTAACAAAAAGAGACTAAAGAAGAAAGAGTAATAAAGAGACTAAAAAGATATGCAGTATAAACATGGCCGAAAACAGAGTACTAATCATAGTAATGAGGATTGTTGACATCATAGGCTGCATCAAATCGATGACGTGTTTCGATCATTGATTTTGTCGCTATTTTTGCTGTTTTGCCGCTGACCTAGTGAGGTATGTAGACAGAACACGAAGTGTGTAGTATACGCCGATCGAATACCTTTGTCGACGACGTTCTCTAACGTTGACTTTTAGCTTCAAAGGAAATGTCAGTGAAGGTCGATGGCGATTCGGTCGAGTGACAGAGCTCTCTCGGCGAACGAGAAACTTTTAGAATTAATAAATTATCGCAAGAGGCAAAAAACGAACAACTCAAGTTAGAATCGAAGTATCGATTGCAAACAGGATAAAAAAAAGTATTAATTGGTCCGCAGCATAAGTAGATTTTGTTTTGGGACGTTTACGAACATACATCTTCGGGGTGGATCTGTAGATATTCGGTGATCTCTGACAGCTAATTGTAAAATATGTAACATTCTGTTTACGGATCCTTTAATAACAGAGGTGCTAGACTGTTTTTCGGAAGAAGTTCGAAACGAAGATAGGGATGTCTTACAGAGGTCAATGATTTCGATACGCGCTATTTTGAAAAGAGACGTGCGTAACACCGGGTGTAAATTCTGCCCGATTGAACTGCCGGCGACGCACCAACGTTCAAGGCGTCAAAGAGGCCTTCGTAAAATGTAGTGAACAACAAGTTTATGTTGAAGCGGTGGCAAAAATTAATTATTCTGAGTTACTTAACTAAGAATTTGAAGTTAAAAATCTCAATCGGTATTCCGTCGTTTTTTGACCAGCTAACGGTTCCATAAACAGATATGCGGACGCTTGATACCTTAATTGTACGACGATAACTAGAATCGTCTATTATAGTATGGGATTCAGCCCAGCTTGTGTACTCTGCTGCTTCGCAACAGCAACAAGAATCTTATTAAGCCACTGAGTTCATAACTGAAACTTTTATTATTATTATTATTAAATGCAGATTTTTCTAGCAACATGTGGAAATGAAGGAATCTGAATACGGGGGCATTTATATGAATGTCCGTGTTACAGTTGCATCATCGTGGTTTCAATTGTCTGCTCAATAGTCTATGATGAGAGATGAAAATCTACGGTAATCGATCTGTATGTGGTGTAGACCCACGACGTAGGCTTACTTGTGTAATAAATATTAGGTTGTCTGAGGCTGCCAAGGTTGTTGGGAATGTCTTAACCTTTGATGACGCGTCTCGTACCCTTAAACGCTTTGTAAATGTTTATCAGATTTTGTTTGTTATAGTTGAAAAGTTATTAATAGAACCCGTTAAATAGCCTCGAGCAGCCTGTATATACACAATGTACTCCAAAACGTAACCTGGGTTGGGTAATAACCGTTGACCATGTTAGATATTGATCTGATATGTCGAAAGGTTAACAATCTGAGCCCGCTGAATTTGATATTGTAGGATTCTCACACACCGAGACGCTTTGCTATTGATGGCCTTATCGAGAAAGTTACTATATTTTATATTCGCTCTGTATCAGTAGATATTTAGAGTAAATAGTTTAATGTTTGTACCAGGTTTTTCTATGGTGATATTGCCAATGTAGCGTCATCTGTAACTCGCATTTAATTTGTACTTACTAGCTAATATTTACAATAGTGCCACTGCTGTGGTCCATCTTGTATTCGCTATGATACTGTCTTACGCCATTGTATATCTTGTCCATCTTCTTTTTCGCACATGTATCACGCATAGAGGCGACCACAGTAAACTATCACCGAAAAGCTGTTTGTTTTTTTTTGTTGCTGCAGTACAATGATATGACAAATCCCTGCTTGGATTTACCTTGGTTAGTATCGTCGTTTCGTCCGTCTGGGAATGCTGCTATAAAACACCTGTGATAGCCATAGTGATTTCTGCCGTTTTATTCTGTGTATGTTATGCTTCTTGTTATTGTTTTGTTGTTTTTGCTATTGCGTCGTTATTACTGCTGTCGATAGAATCGCTCGAGCTGGTCCTCGCTTGTTGTTATTGTTGCCTGGTGCTGTTGCCTGTTATATATTGTAGCCACTCCTTATTTGTGCTTCATCGATCCATTTCTACGTTGACGGAGATCTTCACTGGCGTTCCCCTCTCTCCAACCAGTGGCCTATGGCGGTCGTTTGGTTCGAAGTCGTTCCACATCATCACCGTTACCAGTACAATCAATCTCCACCACCATCACTCCGATCATTACCATTTAGCCAAGATCACTTCAGCGTGCGCGAGTTAGCATTTGCCGCTGTCTGCCTGATTGCATGTGCGTGTGAGTCCATTTGGCCGATGTGCTGCTATACGCGATCAGCAGCCGATTCATGACGGAGCGCTTGTTCTCCGACACCCGTCACTGTCGGACATTGCTTGAACTCGCGACATTGGCTCCGCCACGCGTTTTTTACGTACGGTTACAGGCCATAGCAACAGCTGCACTAACGGCAGATATCGACCGCATTGGTTGTATGAATCGCTCCTATGTCGTCCGTCAAACACACGCGCGTTGACAGAACGCCAGCCAACCCTGATACGCTGTAGTAGATCGTCGATCTCAGTAAGTTGACCTTACTTTAGTGACGATCCCGTTTGGCAGCCAGTTCTCGTGGCACGAGCATTAGCAGAAGCAGCAACAGTCACAGTGACAACGCTAGTCAAGGAATTGGGCTGCCATTGCACAAAGTGGTCCTACTTCACACATGCTTGGCCGGGGCTAGGTCACTGAAATGCTAGCAATAGCCGCTGTAGTGTAATCCACCCTGGCCGGACGCGCATCCTAAACATCGGGGTCATTTTTACCTACAGCCGTTGCTACTACAATGACGTTTTTATAAAGTTTGCCTAGCTGAAAGGGCGGGACAGAGGTGGACGAAGGCAGTTCTTAAGTCCAGTAAGTCGCTAGTCGCAAGAAAGTGACTAATGGCCGAAAGGCGCGTGTCTGCATATTGTAAAGACCTTCTAGTCCTTTCGTGCCGAAGGCACACAATAGCTGTTCAGTGTGGCGTATGGTTGGTACCGCATGCTATAACAGCATAAACGTGAGTACAATATAGCAAAATGATGTATAACTTAGCTTCAAGATCAATGGGCACTGTTATATTAATTAGCATCGCACTTCGAACGGTGATAGTGGTTAAAGCTGTTTTAAGTTGGACGTTATTAAGTACTTATAAACTTGACTAATCAAGTAAATTAAGAAGTGTGTTTACCTTGAATGCTTTAAGCGGTTGCCATTGAATATCAGTATGATTAAGCTTAATTCTGTTGTACGTTCGATAAAGTGGGCCGGCCCAGTTGCATTTTAGTAAACCTTTAGCAAATTATAATGTGCATTTAATTAGTATATTTATTAAATTCAATATAAATTTCAATGTTACAGAATTTGTGTATATTGCGCAAATAAAACCACCGGCCGCTTCATTTCGCAACCGTCGAACGGGATAGCCGGAATAATAAGCTTTGACAGTATAGATACTAACGCGATTGTTGCAAATCACAAATATCTTCGTGCCGTTGACCGCTAATAAGAAATCCATAATAAAATACACTGAAATAACGTATAAAATGCACGTTGTAAGGTTTTTCAAAAAAAAAAAAAACAAAAATCATTCGTAACCACTCGGTGCACCGTAAACCGCATTTATCGCTTCACTGAAT